ATATATATATATATATATATATATATATATATATATATATATATATATATATATATATTTTACATATTTAGAATTTTTTTCAATTTTTATGTAATTTTACCTGTTTATAAATATTTAATGTCATTATATTATTTTATAAAATATTAAAAATTAAATATATATGGGGCTTACGCCCCTTGCCTCGGGGCTTACGGCTCGTTGAGACATATGTAAAATGCCCGCTTAGGCACCACGCCTTTTAAAACATTGTATGTCAATTGTCAAAACAGCTACAAGTTATTGGATGTAACATGACTGAAGAGGTGGTGAAGATGCTTTATCATGTGTTAGCATTTAGTACCAGATCTAGACTATATTTGTCAACTCCTTTTTAAATATTTTGTTAACATTATATGTTCTTAATTAATTAGTTTCAATAATAAAGAACAACTAGCGCTATCTTCTCAATTATAAAATTAATCAGTTCTTCCAACCCGTATAAATTAGATTGCTGCAAAGATCCAACCAGCAAAAGCATTAATTCCTTTCATGGTACTCAAAGAAAACGAGGTTATCGATCAATAATGGAGAAAGCCTCATCTTTTCAGCTTCTAGCATTTATATTAATATCTCTTCACATAATAGAAACATGCTTAGCCATGAATATAAGCACTGATCAATCTTCTCTTCTAGCCTTGAAAGCCCAAATTACTTCAGACCCTTATCGCATACTTTCAACAAACTGGTCTTCTTCAACCTCTGTTTGTAACTGGATTGGAATCACTTGTGGCTCTCGTCATCACAGAGTGATTAAACTGAATATTTCAGACATGGGATTTACTGGTACCATCCCACCACAACTTGGCAACCTTTCTTTTCTTGTTTCACTTGATCTAAGCTACAACAATTTCCATAGTGAACTTCCACCAGATTTCACTCGTTTGCAAAAATTGAGAGCCATTAATCTTAGTTACAACAACTTCACCGGAGAAATTCCAATAGAAATAGCCACTCTTCCGAGTTTGAAATTTTTGAACTTGGGATACAATAAATTAAATGGCTCCAATGTGCTCTCCATATTCAACATATCAACACTAAAATTTTTGGATCTCAGAAAAGCTGGTTTAACTGGCGATTTCCCTTCTGATTTATGTCGTCGCCTTCCCAGATTGCAAAAGCTTGTACTTGGCTTCAATATGTTAAGCGGAGAGGTACCAAGAACCATATCAGAATGCTCGGAACTTCAACTCCTATGGTTGTTTGAAAATAACTTTGTTGGAAAAATTCCAAAAGAACTCGGTAACTTGGAGCTGCTGCAAGATTTACATCTTGGATTTAACAAGTTACAAGGTATGTGCTTATCATTTTTCTCGGAGTTTAACTTTACTCGTAGTATTAATTATGGATTGGATTTTAACTTATACTTCTAACAGTGCAATAAAATTTATAGCCTATTTTGGTCAAGCTTCTAAAAAAAAAAAAGCTAAAAGTGTTCTCTTTTTTTTTTTTAAAATAAAAATGCTTATTTTAGAAATATAAGGTGTACTTGTCACTTTACTACGTATTTTTAAAAAGCGTATTTGTCACTTTACGCATCCAATGCCACGAGGCCGTCCACGGTGATATGGCGCATGGTAGGTCAAGGTACCATGAGGATGACCAAGGGGTCAATGGGTTGTACCATGATATTTTGTGTGTAGTTTTGAGTATTTTATGTGTATTGTTCTCCACTTGAAACACTTTCAAATACTATTACATATAACCGCCAATTAGATTAGCTTTCGCATACAACAACAATCCAGTAAAATTTTACTTGTGAGATCTCGGAAGGATAGAGTTTATGACGATCTTACTCTTACCTTGGAGGGGTAGAAAAGTTGTTTCTGAGAAACCCTAAAAAATTTAGCTTTAGCATATCATAAGAAATATGATTAGTAAACTGGAACGGTTTATCATAGCCAGTTTTGATTATTTTAGTTGGGTAATATGCAACAGGGGAACTTTATTTAGATTAAAGAGAGCTTAGAAAAATATTTACTCCATTTCCACTATATTTATTAACTATATGTACTTATCAAAAATCTAATATACTTGTACGTATCAGACTTTCTCTTAATTTGGTATGTTGAATTAGTTTAAGACATTAAAATTTTTTCAAAGTTAATATGTGATAGCGAATATATTAGTTAAATCAAGATCTCAATTTAGCCAACGATTGAAATTAAAAACTAAAATTTAGTAGTCTGAAGTACTAGCTTTAAAAAGCCATTATCAAGAACTAATATACACAACTCATTTGTGTTTGATCGCTAAACAGGTGAACGTCATACACTAATAAGGTTGTGACACGTGTCCTCAACTCGTTTGTTTCTGTCGTTTCACCTCTAGTCCCCAAATTCCATTTCTAAATATAGGTGTTGCGGGGGCCAAATATATATAGTGTGAATGAGTCACAATTACTATATCAAAAATTATGACAACCACTAAATAATAAACAAGACAATAAGACAACAATAAAAGAACACCAGAATTTACGAGGTTCGGCCAATTTTGCCTATTTCCTCGGACACAATCAATATTTTATTCCACTCCAAAATTACAAGTGAAATAATACTAAAGAGAGAAGATACAAATGCCTTAAGAAGATAAAA